ACACACACATATAAATATATTCAACACACACACATTAATCAAATGTGTTATGCATCTACTTTTTTAAAGAATTATTTTTATTATTATTATTTTTTAATTTGTTATAGGTCATGTGTGCAGAGAGAGAAAGCCACCAGGTCTAGGACTCGAACCATGGTCTGCCATGTGAGACTTCAGCACCTTAACTACTGTGCCACCTGCTGGCTATGCATTCACTTTTAATGAACTGGAGACCACCCCCCCCCACTTTTAGTGTTGCCTCCAGGCAACTCATTTGAGTACAGACTTTAGAAGTGGGACCTCTGTGTATTTGAACTTTTTTTAAAAACGATTTATTTATATCATTTGTTATTATTATTATTTTTTAATTTGACCAGAGAGAGATAGAAAGAGAGGGGAAAAAAAGTGAGAAAGCAAGCTGCTAGGTCTGAGACTCGAACTGCAGTCACCCATGTGGGAGTCCAGCACCTTAACCACCATGCCACCTGCTGCCCCTGCACCCCCCCCCACATTTGAACTTCTTATGAATGAGTCATGAATTCAGAAAGCTACACTCAAAGACTAACTTTCTAAAATTAGGTCTGGCATGTCTACTCCCGTAAAATCACCCAGGTGAGCTCCAGACACTCTCGCTGAGTATTGGGGTGTGCTTGACACTGTGCCACCTCAGCAAAGGGAATTAACAAGACACAAGGCCCATAAGAAATTGAAATTCACATCTATAAGCCTTGTTTCAGAATTCTGTGCTCAAGGTAGCCAGGACTTATAATAGGAGTGTACAGAGATCACAATGCATCCACACACACTGGAATTCCATGAAAGGACTAGAGAAGTATAAGGAACAATAACTAAGACATATTTATAGGAGTGTACAGAGATCACAACGCATCCACACACACTGGAATTCCATGAAAGGACTAGAGAAGTATAAGGAACAATAACTAAGACATATTTGCAAAAAAAAAAAAAAAAAAGCAAAGCCCAAACATCTTTCATTTATGGTGAAAACAATCTCTATATATACTCACATACATGCACGTGTGCTTGCATATGTGCGGGATTTTTCCAGGATATGGTATTTAATAGTGGCTTCCTCTAGGAGGGATTAAAAGATTTGGAATAGTGTCAGCAGGTGGTGTGGTGGTTAAGGTGTTAGACCCTCCCACATGGCTGAAAACAGTTCGAGTCCTGGACCTTAGAGCTTGCTTTCTCATTTTCCCTCTCTCTGTCTCTCTCTGGTAAATTTTTTAAAAATAAAATCAAGTAATAATAATAAATAAATAATAAATAATCCTCTAAAAAGAGGTTTGGGGTAAGAGAAGACTTGCTCTTCATTAAAAAGCCTTTTGTATCATTTAAGTGTATTATTATGTAATATTACCTTAATTAAAATGCTTAACAATTATACTTAAAAGATACTTTTACTAGTATTATATATTAGGGTTCTGACTTAAGACTTTGTATGAAAAATAAAAATTCTATTGTCAACGTGGTCTGACAAAGAATGAGCTACTCAAGGGACCAGCAGATGGCATAATGGTTACGTCACTGGACTCCCACATCGAGCCAGTTCGCGTCCCAGACCCGGGGACTTGAAACTCACCCTGGGTGCAAGTGCATGTGTGCCCAAAATCCCAAGAGGAGAATGAAGGAGAAGGGATTATATTGTGGCCATACCCTCGGGGGGGGGGGTGATTTCTTGCTTTCTGTCTCTGTCTGTCTTCCTAGTAAGCATATATGCTCTATAGCCAAAAATAATCAGAGCTATTCTAATTGCCTCATGTGAAAGAGAAAGGGAGCCTAGGGAGGCTCTTTCTCAACCCAGGAAAGTGTTTTCTGTCTGGGGAAAAAAGGAACCCAATTTTCTAGTTTTTTAATTCAGAGGAAAAGGGACACACCAATAATGGAACTGAAGGGTAAGAGATATGTTTGGGGTTTGTTCATTTGCAGGATCACTCAAATCCTAAAATGCCACTCAGTCATTTTTATGTGAAGCTGCCTTGGCAGTGTCACCTCAGTCCCCTGCTTTCCTTCTTTCCTTTCCTTCTCTTTTAGTTTTTGTTATAGGATGCGTGCACTCACTGGAGAGAGAGGAACTGAGAAGTCATCCTCCAGGAGGGATGTCCACACCACAATCCCTTCTCCTCCACTCTCTGCTTGAGATTTTGGGCATGCACGCACATGCGCTTGACTTATTTCTTAAGCTTCCAGATCCGGGACTTAAACTGCACAGTTGGCCATGTGGGATTCAATCACCTTAATCTCCACACCACCTGCTTGCCCCCCCTGCTTTCTTAGGAACACAAATTTTACTTCCCTCATTTGGGGTGACCCACTTTACACAAGGGTATCCCTAACATAGAAAATTTGTCCAGCAAATGTCTGTTGCATGTTACCACCATGGAACCTATAACTAGCCCAGCAGGGCTAAGTTTTAGACACCAGTTATATTTATAAAATAGAAAAAGCAAACAAAAGCTAAGATAAAACAAAATCAGCTGTAAGAAGGACAAAAAAAGACAATTTCTTTATAATGTAAGATATTTATTTTGGTTACAATGTTAGTATTTTAACACTGACTTGTGATATAACAGACATTAAACTTACTTATTTAAAAAAAAGAATTTGATACCTCCCTTTACCTGTCTATAAATTCACTCTTAAACAATCAAGTTACCCTAAAAGGTGGCAGGAGGTAAGAGGGTACGAAAGTTAAGCTTCCATCCAATTGGCTCTCACCCTGAGATGGCCTCTATTTCCAAACAGGACAAAAATCTTGACTTGAGGGAACCAGCAGTTAGCGTAATGGCTATGTCGCTGGACTCCCACGTAGTAGACCGTGGTTCATGTCCCGGACCCAGTGGCTTAAAACTCACGCCAGGCGCGTGTGCGTGCGTGCCCAAGATCCAGAGAGGAGAATGGAGGAGAAGGGATTGCGGCGTGACCATCCCCCCTGGGGGGGTGATTTCTCGCTTTCTGTCTCCATGTCTCTCTCTGTCTGTCTGGTGAGCGCACGCGCCCTACAGTGAAAATCTCTCCAAAAAAAAAAATCTTGACTTGAAAGGACCATCATTATTGGCTGTTCAGTGATTTTAAATACCAATTTTCTTTTGTTTTCCCCCCACATTTATTTATTTATTTATCTATTTATTTGTTGTGATTTTCAAGCCACCAAGTCCAGTACTAGACCTACGGTCGGCTATGTGGGAATTCAGCATCTTAACCATCACACCATCTGCTGGCCCTCCAAAAACCAGTTTTCTGACAAAGAAAATTTCCTGCAAGAAAAGCTTATATCTTCATATTTAAGATCAGTGCATATTTCGATTAAAACATTAGCATCTTAACATTAACTTGACACAAAGGCACCAACACTCCCTTTCAGAACCATCCATCACGATGGGTGGGACACAGCGCCACCTGCTGGCCACCGTGTTATTACTAACATACTGTACAATATCCTGGTGGTGGTCAATTCTGCAGTGGGGATTCTTGGAGACCTCAACAGAGGTCTTTTGCCAGAGCCAAAAGGACTTTAGAGGTCTCCTGGATGTGTCCCTGATTTGATAGGTGGTGGTTTCTTCTCTCAAGATAACTAAGAGTGGCAAGGAAACAAACCAGCCTGGGGAAAGATACTGCTTTTAAGAGAAGAAACGTGTTTGGTGCTTTTATTTCACTGGATGGGGCTCAAAGAAAGGAATCAGGTCTGGGGGGTGGGGGAGGGGAGTAAGGGCACCCTGAGTTCCTATTCCATCATTTCCCAGTGGGGTAGAAGGCTGTCTAGGAACAGTTCCCACCCACAGCTAGGCAAGCATTGGCTTATTGGCTCTTATACAATAAAACTGTATTTTACCTAAACAACTAGAGCTCAACCTAATGAAGTTAATATGAAATTTCTGGGACTAAGGACTCTCAAGAAATCTCAAGTTATCAGCATAAGAGGAGTCCCAAGTAAAGGCAGTAATTCTCCCATGGCCCTTTCTTTCTCATGTCCCCCACAACGTGGCCTTCAAGAGGCCCGATTGAGCTAGCCACCCCCCACCTATTGTGTTTATCCAGGAAGTTGTGGCTGTCCTGTGGGGTGACCACTACCTGGGCATGGGAAGGGGGCCCTAGTCCTAGCTCCTGAGCCTCTTTCAAGAGCAGAGCAGAAAGCCCTGACTTGGGGGTACTAGGTGTCGCCAAGAGCTCAGGCTTCCAGGAGCTTGATCTACAGAACAAACCCCAGAATACATTTGGTGCTCAAAAACAGAGGTTCATTGCATCAGCTTTTATCAGACACTTACGGCGAGGTGCCGGGGGCGTGGCGAGGGCCACCTCTGTCCAGAGCACGTAAACAACATCCACCATGGCATCACTTTCCATAATCAGGCTGTGTTCAAAACAAAGCTCTGATCTTCTGGCCAGTGTGCTCATACCGAGTCCCCATG